TAAGTCCTTGGACATTCCAAAACATGTTAAATAAGTCATTGGACAATTTTTTGGAACAAATAAGTCTTTGGACATTCCAAAATATGTTAAATAAGTCTTTGGACAATTTTTGGAACAAATAAGTCCTTAGACATTCCAAAAAATGTTAAATAACTCATTGAACAATTTTTGGAACAAATAAGTCCTTGAACAATTTTTGGAACAAATAAGTCCTTGAACAATCCAAAACATGTTAAATAACTTCTTGAACTTTTATAAAACATGTTGGATACATTCTAATGACTTGTACAACTAGTTAAAATGGTAATTATTTTTTTGTAAATGTAAGTACTTTTTTGTTATATTTGTTTAATTTTATAGATCTAAATACTTTTTGGTTCAAAAAATATTTAGGGGCTTAATCGTTCAAAATATAAATATTCATTGAGTTTTTTTTCGGATTTTTTTCACTATTTTACCACTTTAACTAGTTGTACAAGTCATAAGAATGTATCCAACATGTTTTATAAAAGTTCAAGAAGTTATTTAACATGTTTTGGATTGTTCAATGACTTATTTGTTCCAAAAATTGTCCAAAGAGTTATTTAACATGTTTTGGAATGTCCAATGACTTATTTGTTCCAAAAAATTGTCCAAAGACTTATTTAACATGTTTTGGAAGTTATTTAACATATTTTGGAATGTCCAAGGACTTATTTGTTCCAAAAAATTGTCCAATGACTTATTTAACATATTTTGGAATGTCCAAGGAATTATTTGTTCCAAAAAAAAGTCTAAGGACTTAATTATTCCAAACAAGAAAGTTCATTGGTTTTTATTGTACTTTTCCCTATAGTATATAGATTAAATATTTTCTTTTACATTAAATTCTACTAATGACTGCTTAATACTTTTAACACAAACACAAAGATTTTCGTTTGTTTATTGTTCGTGTTCGTTCGTTTGTTCGGTTAAGTTAAACGAACGAACATGAACAAACCATTGTTCGTGTTCGTTTACAGCACTAGGCATATGAGTGGTTAACCGAGCATTATCTAATAGAGTTAGGTTGAGGGACTCAATCCGCAACAATATGAAATCACGATGATGCTATTTGTAATTATTTCATTTGGAGGACCTAATCCAAAAGTTTGATCAACCATAGGGACGAAATTTACTCTTAACTATATTATTAAAATATACAATACATTTAATAAAATAATCAATATATTTAATATAATATTATTTTTCTCTCCTAAACACTTAATTATAATATCTCATAAGGAATGAAATATTATCTCTCTTAAATACGAAGTTTTAGAGATTTCTCCAAATTTGAAGATTTCTACCATCTCTTTTTTCTTTTCCTGTTATAACATAGTTGTAGCAAAAATATACACAAAATCTCCAAAATCTCTATTTTAACATAAATGTTGGAAATGCTCTTAATAAGTAGGGGTGCATTTAACCCACCCTTATAAAAGGAAAGTAGACTAAATGCACCCATCTTTATTGCTAAATGCACTCTATCCATTAATTCCCTTCTCTCAAATATCAAGATTTACTTTTTGTATTTTTAATGTATGATTTGATCTGATTCTGACATATATCAACACCCAAAAAGAAGGAAAATTTATTAAAATAGTCAATCCCCCAACCAAATTCACTTCTAACCATTTTTTCAATCGAATTCCTATTTTAACCAGAGTTTACGAAAATGTCTTACACATTTACGTAAACTCGATTTCCAGCTTCAAAAAAAAAGGAAAAAAAATCTTTACGCAAATTTTGTGTAAAGATCGCCATTTGTGTAAACAATTTATCTAAGGATTCTCATTTCCATAAAGATTTTGCGGTAAAGATCTTTTCATAGGTTTTAGGCGAATGCGTAACATATTTACGTAAACTTTGGCTAAAATGAGAATTCAACTCCAAAAATGACTAAAAAAATTAAATTTGTTTGGAGAAATCAAAGCATCTTCGATGGAGTTTGTCATAAGAATCCATTTTTTATATTTTTTATTTTACCAAGTCTTTCCAACTCATCAAATTAATAACCAACATTTTGTGGGTCCCATGTATAATATAAATTAAATAAATAAATAAATATATATATATATATATATTGGATATAAAAATCAAGAAAGTATATAAAAAACTAGAAAATTGTCACTTTAAATTTTTTATTTATAAGAACCTCAAAGCATTCGGTATGTGGTTTTTGAGAGCTTTTTCAAAAAGCAAAAACCTTATTTTGTGGTTTTCGTCATAGATCATAACTGCACGACATGTTTTTTGGGGATTTTTTATTTAATCACTTTCAATTTTATAGAATTTTATAAAAGTTTCGTGTTTTATTTATTAATATATTTAAAGTAATCATATTTAAATAATATAAAATAAATATGTAATTAAAGTAATTATATACTTTTTATTTAAGTGAATGTCTCACATGTGATATATTTATATACAATTTTTATAGATTTAAGACCCAATTTTTACTTTTTAATATACATATTTTTGAATTAACTTTTTTTAATTTTTATTGTACATGTTTTTATACATTTTTTACATATTTCAGCCCAATTTTTTTTTATTGTATATACTTTTAAATCAACTTTTTTTAATTTTTATGATATATAATTTTTTTTACTATTTTTACAAGTTTCTTGATTACCCAATTTTATAAAAGTTTATAAAATTTAGGGTGTTTTGAGAATTATTTTTGTACACATATGTACTATATTATAAAACATTTGACAAAAACTCTTAAAAGTCATTTTTTATGCATGAATTACTGTTTATTGATGCATATTATTTAAAATTCAAGATTAGACGTAAACTGTACGTAAGTACAACTTATTAAAGTTCCATGTTTGAATTCGTATAACAAACTACAGATAAACATAATCAAATAGAGAATAAACAAATCATTTTAAAATATAAAAAATCTAAAATATAATTAGAATAATTATCGAGTTCTAACAAAATAATAAATTATTATCTTTATATTAAAATTATATTATTAAATCAAATCAATTACTTTGTTATTGAACCTAAATTAAATTATAATAAAAAAATTGAATTAAAAAATTACACAAAAAATATGAATTTTAAATAGTTAATTTGATACTAATATCGATATATTTTTGTCAAATTTTTATGATATTTTCAAATTTTATATTTTATTCAAAAATAAAAATATCATCGCTTTTTCAAAATCATATAAAACTATACTATAACATCGACTGAGATAAAGAATAAAATGAAATATTAAAATCAAGATGTATCTTGATACATTGCACAAGTATCTTTCTAGTTATTATAAACAGATAACAACTTATGTACACTTTCTCGATACAAATTAGTATGTATTTGTATAAGAAAAATTGAAGGGCAACAAAACTATAACGAATTTTAATATATTTATTTTTATAAATAAGAATATAAATAATATAAAATTAAAATGATGGTATCCTGAAAAGTTTGAAAAAATCATTAAAAAGTTTGGATGAGATTTTTCATATGACAATAATGTGTAAAAACAAATATGAAAACCTTAGGAAACTTAACTAAAATAACCATTTTCACTGGTTGGTTCCACCTTTTAATCACTTATTTACAAGGTTTACCAAAATAGCCCAAGTTCCGTTTTTTTTTTTTTTTTTGCAGATGTGGATGAAAAATTTAAATTCTTTTTACGGATCTGGATGAGAAATGTAATTTTTTTTTACGGAACTGAATGAAAAACGAGTTTTTTTTTTTTTTTGCAAACAAGAGTAGAAAGTGTAAATTTCTCTTGTTTTTTAGCTAAGTCTGTAATTACATAAATGGGTTTTAGAAACTTATGGTTAATTTAGTAAATAAATAAAATGATTAGAAGTAGGGGTGCTCAAAAACCCGATCAGCCCAACTCAATCCAACGCGAAATAATTCAACCCGAAGCAACCCGATGTCTAATCGAGTTGTAAAATTGTCCAACCGTAGGTATTGGGTTGATATTGGGTTACTATTATTTGAACTCAACTCAACCCGATGAACCCGATATCCTTTTATTTCTTGGATTTAATATGATTATTGAATTTATATTAATATATACATTAGACATTTACACTATCATGTATGTTTTTCATATACACATATTTTCAATCTATTAATATCTTTATATAACTCATTCATATATATGTTCAGTAACTTTGAACATATATATGTAAATTGAGAAAATTAAATAAATGTGATATACGTAAAAAATATGGATAAATTGTATCAAATGGTTGATGATGAAAAAGAAATTATGAGTAAAGAAATAACATATTCAAAGTTAGAAGAATATTTTAATATACCAAAGTATCAACCCGACCAACCCATACGGGTCGGGTTGGGTTGTGTTGCACTTTGGTTTGAGTTGGATTGAGTTAAGATTTTTTCAAACCACAAGTATTGGATTGAGTTATTCAAATATTTTCAATCCGATCAACCCAACCCATAAACACCTTTAATTATAAGATGTTAATTTTGGTCGATTTAAAAAAAAGGCAATCGAATGGGCTTAGTGAAAGGAAAGGTGAAATGCAAGCGTGCAAGTGACTTTTTCATAGCCTTTCCCATCTAAAGGGGATCATACCCACCGACCCACTACCAAAAAGCTCATTGTTTTTTCTCTCAATTTTTGATCTTTCCCGATCTTTATTTACCCTTTTTATTTAATTAAAAAAATAGATATAAAATTGTGGGTCATCTCTGAAATTGGCAAAGAATGCTACAAAAGCATGTTATCTTCTTTCCCCTCAGTCATCAATGGCTGAATGAAAGGAGTAAAAGCAATTTCAGTTGGAATTTGGACATGAAAATGGTCTATTTATAGAAATATTGGGGCAAAAAGGTCCACCAGCCAGATGATAAAAGTCGATAAATTTCAACACCCTTTTGCCCATTCTGATAGTGATTCTACTCTTGGAATTGGAAGGAAGAGAAGGTGCAATATGGGGTTTGCAACATATGAAAATAATCATATTTATTTATTATTTTTATGATTAAAATTCGAATTTTGCCAACTATTTCACATCATCTTTACTCTCCCCGCTTTTGCTTGGCGTAGGTTTTAAGTTGCTCCAATCATTGACTTTTTCTTTACTCTGATGTTTCTCTTTCTTTCTTCACCTGCAAATTCTTCAGCAAAAGAAGTTGGGATTCATGATGAATCTTTACTCTTGTTTGATGTTGTTATCAGCAGGTGTTGGGTATAAATGGAATGTGGGAACACACCAATCTCTCTTGTAATCTTGTGATTATGCCCACCATTGAACTGGGTTCTTTTGATCATCCGCGGATGCATCAGATTCCATGGTGGTTTCAGCCAATTCTGTGAGTTTTTGAAGGTCAGATTTCAACTGTTTCTTTCTTTGATTATTGGTTTTCTTCTCCAGACTGCTGTCAGAACCCGACAAAATCTATCTGGAAAATGCTTATTTTATTCTAATAAATATATGTTTCCTGGATGATGCATATAGATTGGGTTGGTGGAAGTTGAAATCAATTATGGCTTATTCATCATATATTTGCACTCTTATTTGGAATCTTTGAGCAATTAGCAATCAGAAAACAATTTTCAATTGCTGTGATTGAGGTGTCCATGCAATACTTTAATCTTCATAAATCTGTTTCTTGTTTAGAATTGCCAGCTATGAGTTATGTCTTCATTGAACATAATTCTTCCCCAGTTTACAGAAACATAAATTGCCTTCTGTTCCAAGAACATTTGCCAATTGAGCGATTCAAGAATTGGGTATTTTCTTTACTTCCATTTGACTATAAACTTGCATCTTTAATCAATCTTGAACACAAGAATTGACTGTTTGACAAATTTTCTGAAAAAGGTTCTTTCTGTAATGGTGATTCAAGAATTGGGTATTTTCTTTACTTTCATTTGACTATAAACCTGTCATCTTCAACCAATTTAATGATTCAAGAATTGGGTATTTTCTTACTTTCATTTGGCTATAAACTTGTCATCTTCAACCAATTGGGTGATTCAAGAATTGGGTATTTTCTTTACATCCATTTGACCAAAAAGTTGCCATCTTCAGTCCATCTTGAAAACAAGAGTGATTGTTTTCACAGTTTTTTAGAAAAGGGTTCTAGTTTGTTTATGCATCTTATAACATATGTTTGTCGTGTGGTGTGGCATACAGAAAAAGGATTCAAAAGCACAATTCTACACAACAGTTTGTGTTATGGGTTGGCTAACCAAGATTCTTAGAGGGTTTAGCTCCAGCAATAAAAACTCAGGAAAGTACCATGGGAGGTATGAAAATGAAGGCATCTGGGTGGATCCCCCAACTACAGTGGTAATCAGCACTTCTATTCCCTCGTAACTCCATGCTTTCAAGTAGGATATATTGAGTCTGATTTCAAGTGGGGTATACTGGGTTTTTTAATTTTTGGTTATAAATGTCTTGCTTCACTGACTCTTTCAAGTTTACAAGTTCTGTTTTGCAATAATACAATTGGTTTGTTCGCATTATTTTGCTGTTCATTCTCTGTTATGTGGACTCGAAATGTAGGACACATTGTCAGACTTTGATAGTGAAGAAATTGATCGAGCTATTGCACTTTCACTTTTAGAAGAAGACACAAAAAGTACCATTTCTGATGCAGAAGAAGATGAAGATGCCGATGCAGAAAAAGATGAAGATGCAGATGCAGAAAAAGATGAAGATGAAGATACAGATGCAGAAAAAGATGAAGATACAGATGCAGATGAAGATGAAGATAGAGATGAAGATGAAGACGGTTCAATTTCGTCGGAAGAAGAAGAGAAAAAACCTGCAGTTTCGCCTCAAGAAGAAGATGAAACAGGATCAAACTCCACTTCTGAAGAAGAAGATGATAAAGGAAAAAAAGTAATTGGTAAGTGGAATTAAATAGTTTACAATAATTTAAGAAAGAAAGAATGTATGATATTGATTACATTTTCTTTTAATGTGATGCATTTGGGGATTCTAATTGTAGTCCTGTTTTGTTTTATTGATCTATAAGATCATAATTCTCATATAGAGGAAGATGAACAGCTTGCCAAGGCTATTCAAGAAAGTTTGAATGTGGACTCACCACAGCGAAGTGATTATGATAGCCAATCGACACCTGTACCTTACTCCTATGCCAGTGGATACAGGTACATGGAGATGGAAAGTTCGTATGAGAACCATAAATATTTTGAAAACCAGAGAACTATTTCATGTATTATTCATGATGAATATTACATGAATATCACATATTTTCATCTTGGATATCTTCACAACATCCATCATGAATGTAGCATGAATACTTGGTTCATGGGTTCTCAAAATATTGCGGGTAGAAAGTTCAAATGAGAACCATAAATATTTTGAAAATCTGAGAAACAATTATTTCATGTATTATTAATAATGAATAATCATGAATTTCTTTCATTAAGAATAATTTTCACAATGAATATCTACATGACCTTCATCGTGAATAAAGGTTGAATAGTTGGTTCCAGGTTCTCATAATATTTACGGATCTCATCTGAACCTGCCTCTACACAAATAATTATCAAACTAATGAATTTGTTTCAAGCACAACACTCCTGCAGACCTTTCATGTATCCCCTGCATTTGAGATTGCAGGATATGTGTTGGTTGCAGAGCAGAAATCGGCCATGGGAGATTTCTGAGTTGCATGGGAGGAGTTTGGCATCCAGAATGTTTCCGTTGTCATGCCTGCAATCGACCAATATCTGATTATGAGGTCGAAAACTACTCCATTCCTGCAGTTTCCTTCTAATGTTGATTTACCTTTTTAAACAAGATTTTGATCATGAAATCAGAATACCCAGAAACTCTTTCTTCTTGATTTCACATTTGAAATGATTTCGCTCTTTGTATATGCAGTTCTCCATGACCGAAAACCGACCATTCCACAAATCATGCTATAAAGAACGCCATCATCCAAAATGTGACGTTTGCAAAAACTTTGTAAGTTTGTTTTAATTTTTCTATCTTTTTGTATATCCCTTCTTGAATCTTGAGAATCTGCAGAGATCTGCTCCGGATGAGATAAAAGAATTAAGGGTTGTTTATTACCTCCTTATCGCCTTTTACCGGGTAAGAGATGGTTACCCGATAAGAAGGGATGATGTTTACCAACACACTCTGACCCACAAATACGCCGACCACAAGGGTGGTGCCTGATTGGTTTGAGCTTGGCTCCAAAGGTCATAAGTACCAGGAGGTCCCAGGTTCAAATCCAAGGAGGAATAAAAATCCCCTTGTGGCCACGGAGGTTCAAATGCGGTGACTCCGGGCTATCTGCAAAGCAGGTGGTCGCCCTGGGATTAGTCGGCTCGCATAGCGGGTTGGATATCCAGGTTAATAAAAAAAAAAATACGCTGACCCAGTAAGAAAGATGTTGCTTGCTGACTCGGTCAGTGTTTCAGTCAGCACTTGCCCTTACACTTGGTAAACAATCATTTTCAGTCAGCGTTTACCAGACCGCATACTTACGGGGTGTTTGGTTAGTTTTCGATTAAGTCATGTATAAATAAAGTTGTTTGTGTGGATTAATCTGTCTGTATAGATTGGGAAGGTTTTTGTTCAGAAGAGTTTTTTGATAGATGAAAGGAGCATGTTCTTTAATTGGGAGGGACAGGTTTGGGAAGAACTTCTTTTTGCATAAAGCTCCCCCCTAGAAGCTTACTGAATAAGCCACTTTCTACATCATTAAGGCACTACCAAACAGTCTTGTATAGCTGATCGAATAAGCTGCAAGTCCCATTAAGCTCATTAAGCTGCTAACAAACAGGCCCTTAGTTAGCGCTTACCCATTTTCGATATTTATGCAGATTCCAACAAATACAGCTGGTTTGATCGAGTACAGAGCGCATCCTTTCTGGCTACAAAAGTACTGCCCGTCACACGAGCATGATGGGACTCCAAGATGTTGCAGTTGTGAACGAATGGAGGCAAGAGACACGAAATATTTGTTACTAGATGATGGTCGGAAGCTATGCTTGGAGTGCCTAGATTCCGCAATAATGGATACTCATGAATGCCAGCCACTGTACCTAGAAATTCAAGATTTTTACGAAGGATTAAACATGAAAATCGAGCAACAAGTTCCCTTATTGTTGGTTGAGAGACAAGCCCTAAATGAGGCCATGGAAGGAGAAAAAAACGTGAGCGAGCTTCAAAAAGGGTTATTTACAAGAATAACCTTTTGACAGATATTTTCAAAATGCAAGACTTACCGACAGATTTTAAGGCATTCTTCTATTAAGTAGAAGTGTCCTTAAATCTGTCAGAAGGTCGTGCATTTATAAAGAATCTGTCAGAAGGTTATTCTCCTAAGTAACCAGCTGATCGTGAAACTAGAATGATTCGTAGTTTATGGTCGTCGTCTTGATTTGGAACTAAATCTTTAATGGATGGCAGGGTCATCATCACATGCCTGAAACTAGAGGACTTTGCCTATCAGAAGAACAAACCATCAGCACAGTATGATATTATGCCCCAACTTGTTACCATACACAGTGAAAATTTTCTTTTTTCCCCTTTTTTCCGATATCTTTTATTTTACTGAAAATATCAGATAATAAGGAGGCCGAGGGTGGGGGCAGGGCGGATAATGGACATGTTTACGGAGCCGTATAAGCTAGTTCGTCGATGTGAAGTGACCGCTATTCTGATCTTGTATAGTCTCCCTAGGTAATTCTTCGTTTATAAGTTATGCATCGATGGTTTTCTGTTATACGATCAATGACTGTAGAAAGCTTGCTTCATGGATTCAGGTTACTGACTGGTTCAATACTGGCTCATGAGATGATGCATGCATGGCTCCGGCTTAAAGGTTTGACCTTTCTCTCTTTCTTGGCTCAATTTTCTCTGTGTTCGGTACGTGGGACAGTATAGTACGTGGGAAAGTGCTTCTTTTGTGTTGTTCTCATTGAATCTTGAATACAAACAAACAGGATACTCTAACCTTCCCCCTGATGTTGAAGAAGGGATCTGTCAAGTGCTGGCTCACATGTGGTTGGATTCTGAGATCATGGCTGGTTCTGGTAGCACGAACGTTGCGTCATCTTCCTCATCTGCAGCCGCTCCTACCTCATCAAAGAAAGGGAAAAGGTCCGATTTTGAGAAGCAACTTGGTGAGTTCTTCAAACACCAGATCGAGTCAGATACATCTGCAGCATATGGAGATGGGTTCAGAGATGGCAACAAATCCGTGCTCAAATACGGTCTCAGAAGCACCCTCGACCATATTCGACTTACCGGAAGATTCCCTTGCTAGTTTAAAGTGCAAAGAATGTTCATACAGTGGCATTACAGAATTGTTCATAAACATAAATATGTATAGGGAAAAAAGAAAGAATATATACAGAGAAATTATATGGGTTGTTTTCTTCAAGACCTCAGTTATGTTCTCTTTTTGTTGTTTTGGAAACCAGATTGCTGTTGACTGCTTCCATAAGTGTGAAGTGGTTGCTTAATACATGGCTACAACAGTTTCTTGTTGTGAACCTGTTTTGTGCATCTATTATCTGAATCATGATATCTGTCTCTTGTTGAATTCAAAGAGTGTATGTGTGTTGGATATCTGAATCCAAAGGTCAAAAGTACCTGGAGGTCCCAGGTTCAAATCCAAGGAGGAAAAAAGATCCTTTTGTGGCCACGGAGGTTCAAATGCTGTGACTCCAGGCTGTTTGCAAAGCAGGTGGTCGCCATATAGCATAATTGGCTTTATAAAGATTAATCATTTATACAACAAGTTCTCATGATATATTCCTATATCTGTACTTTGGAATCATCATATGGACACTGAAAGTTCTTAAGGTGATCTAACATCTCTAGCCAATCATGTTATCTTCAATTGTCATCCTCATTTTGTTTTGTTGATCCCAGAAATCACGTCACCTACAAGCAATCGATAGTGGTTTGTCTCTGGAGATCCACCTCAATTTAACGTTGAGGTCCAGCTCGACCGGTAAAATAAAGGCTAGACCTTGGAGGTTTTGCCCATAGGTCGCCGGTTCGAGGCTCCTAAACTTGACACTGAACTTGACGATACAACTAATGATACACGATTCCAAAGGGTCACACACATACAAACAAATTAACTTCAATCATACGATCGAATGTGATTCGATTATTTTCAATCCAAATAATTGTCATGCAAATTATTATTTTAATCAAAATAATAATTTCTAATAATAATAAAATATATGTTATATATTTTGACTAGTCTTTAAGGGGCCGTTTACTAAACATTTACTTGGTAAGTGCTTGATCCATAAATTTGCTCATCGGATGAACATGAAAAGGGCCAAGAATTCTACCGGGTAAGAGCGATGAGAAGGATGGAGAGTCTTACCCGGTAAATGAGGATGGCGACTTTTACCCAGGTAAGCACTTACCTAGTAAATTGTTGCATTCGATATGCTTTGATGCACTAAAATCTTATGCATCTAAATAAATATTAATGTTAACTCCTATCGGTAAGCGCTTACCAAGTAAGCATTTGGGTAAACGGCCCCTAAGTCTAATATGTATTTGATACATATTATTATTTCCATTGTTTTAAATGTATACTTAATTTGTTACGTGTAACATTAACTATATAAGTTTTATATTTTGATATAAAATTTATATGAAATAACTAATAACTAACTACTAAAACTATGGTTGGTTTTAGGTTGTTTATTAGTTAATTTCTAAGTGTATTGGTTGCTTCCAAGTATACTACAAAAGACATTTAAAATATTAAACAAAAAGAGGACAATGTAAGAGATGTAAGAAGTATGTTGGGAGACATGGTCTCCTGCTTTTTCTTCTTTTCTTTCTTTTGGATCTATCATGTATATGTATCAGTGGTGGTTCAATAAAAAAGGGTGATACATATTCTCATACTATCCTAACTATTTCTAAGTTTTTCTCTCTAAAATTCAAAGTGTTAAAGAGACTTTTGAGAAAGAGTTCTTGAGAGAAAAAGTGAGGAGATGCATACTTGGTTTTTATTTCTAAGGTAGAGATAGAAACGACACTAGTTTGGGTTGCAAGGAACTAGCATTCGAACAAGAGGTTGCTTGGTGTGGATCAACGTTGGAGGAAGATCCGTTTTTCTTCTCTATCCGACATCAACGTTCAAACTTCAAAGGTTGTAGTTCTAAAACCCACTATGATTGTGTTTTTCGGTTTTCTAAGTTCTTTAATGTATGAGATCCTTGTTGGGAGTTTTTGTGAAAATCGTTGTTAAGTTTATTTTATGCTTCTGTTGCTATCTTTGATAATATTGTTTTAAAGTTTCCTACAAATCCTTTCAATGATACCCTAGTGGTATCAAGCTCAACTAACATTGAGAGCCAACCTATGCTGTTAAAATCGCGATATATCGGATATCGCTCCCCAAAAAAAAATCGGAACTCAAATATCGGTCAAAATATCGGGAACGATATTATCGGCGATATTTTCCGATATTTAGCGATATTTTCCGATATTTAGCGATTTTTAGCGATATTTAGCGATTTTTTGGGCTGATAACTTAAATTAGGTCTGAATCTTTCCACAACGTCTTCTTCTTCACGTTCAACTTCAGTCTCGACTTCTTCACGTTCAACTTCAGTCTCGACTTTTTCTTCACAAATCACACTTCGACTTCAACTTCAGTCTTCGACTTCGACTTCAAGTCTCGACTTCTTCTTCACACTTCAGTCTCGACTTCTTCAGTCTTCAGTCTTCAGTCTCGACTTTTCTTCACACTTCGACTTCAACTTCAGTCTTCAGACTTCTAAACTCTAATTAATGCATATTATATATATAATTCTAAGAAATATTATGTTAACCGCTATTTCCGATATATCACCGATATAACCAATATATCGAATATCGGTCCTGACCGATATTTCGTATTCTGACCGATATAACAGCATAGGAGCCAACTTAACCAATAAAAGGCTAGGCCTTAAACCTCAACCCCATAGGTCGACAGTTTAAAATCATAAACCCTCCTCAGGTCCTTTGAAAATTTTCCTCGTAATAATCTTCAGGGCCCCATAGGAAGATACTGGAGATCCCCCTCCATTATAGTTGAGGGTCAGCTTAACCAACAAATAAAGGTCCGACCTTTGTACTGTAACAACTCGTCCCACATTGATAGAAAATGTGATTTGTGAGCTCCTTATATGCCTCAAGTTATGGGCTACCAAAAATTTACACCATGGTTTTTTAAGTTGGATTTGAAGTTATTGGGTCAGCATGTTGCTTTGGGCTTTGGAGGTGTTACATGGGCTCCTCCCGATAGGTTGCTAGTTCCAATCTCCTCAGGGTTACTGAAGATTTTCTTGGCTAAAGATATGTTATCTTCGAGGGACCCATTGGATTAGGCAAGATGCGTGCAAGTTGGTCCAGACACCCACGGTTACCTTTCCAAAGAGCTTATAGTTTCTATGTTTGAGCATTAGCCCTGAGCGAGGGTACAATCGTGAAAAGAGAACTCAAAGCTCGAACTCATAGGCGACCGTAACACAAGATAAAACAAGTGTAAAGCACAACTACAGTAAGAACAAAAACAATATAGGAAAGGGCTATCGACATAAAATGCTTCAAAGAAGCTTCAAAGTTCAACTCCACAATTCATTAAATGAGAAAGAACATGATCATTCTACATCTCCAAAGGATATAGAACTATTATATGGTGCAATTACAAAATATATATTAACATACTATCATCGCGATGATGCCAACCATAAGCAAGAACTAATAGTCTAATTTCAACGTACGATTGATTTACAAGATCATAACAAGGACCATAAAAATCCCAAACATTAAAAGGAACGTCTTCAAAAGGTTATTCTCTTGATTCCCTCGCCTCGAATGAAAAATCTCATGAACATGATGTCCCCCATGAAACCCGTTAAAGAATCTAGGTCCATAAGCTCTTGGACCATACTGCAACGGATTTTGGAATCCATGAACGTGCATATCAAGTAAAGACGGGAATAAACCACCAATACCTGCAGACATTGCAAAGTTACCGAATCTTGCAGATGCCATTGGCGCAAATCCTCCAAACCCAAAATTTGGGAAGTTGTTATTATCAGGAGCAGGGGCTGTTGCAGGTCTTTGACCTGCTGGCCTATGTGGGATTTCAAGGTCAGGCATTGGTTTCGACCTTGGGTCAGTATGTGTCTTCCCTCTACCATATAAAGGAATCAACTTCTCCTCTTCTATAAGGGCCTTGCAAACTGGGCATTCATGGGAACGCGAATGAATATGGAGCCATTTGTAAAGGCATGGCCAGCAGAAGAGATGACCACAAAGAGTGACAATAGGGTCTTCAGCTAGTTCAAAGCAGATGTTGCATTCAAAGTCTCCGGCATCATTGCTACCAGTGTCCCTTGATGAAGAACTTTCCGGAGGCTTGATTGTTGATTCACGCATATTACTTGCCATCTGTGAACATTCGCTAAATATCCCTGGCAGATGCAGTCCTTTTATCAGTTACTTTTAACATACAAACAAATAAGAATGGCCAACGAAAATATATAAAGTTAATCCTAACCATGATATATATATTCAACACCAATATCAGGTAGTAAACACATATACCTCTTCGGCACCAATATCAGATATTGCTGTGTCAGTGTCTAATGCAAGTTCAGACGACTAACTGATATTAGTCACTTAAATCAATTAAGAAGCACCAACAGTTGTGACAACACAAAACACTAAAACGAAAAAAAGAAATGAAATTTTTTAGAACACAACATTTGTTTTTTTTTTTGATTAATCTGGATATCCAACCCGCTATGCGAGCCGACTAATCCCAGGGCAACCACCTGCTTTGCAGATAGCCTGGAGTCACCGCATTTGAACCTTCGTGGCCACAAGGGGATTTTTATTCCTCCTTGGATTTGAACCTCGGATCTCCTGGTACTTTTGACCTTTGGAGCCAAGCTCAAACCAATCAGGCACCACCCTTGTGGTTAACACAGTATTTGTTGCAATTGCATCAGAAAGTTACCCTCCCCCCACATGTCATACTCACCTAATTATTGACCAGGGATTAACAAGGATACCAGAATTGGAATATGCATGAGGAGACTTTGGTCTTTTGTTAACAAAAGAGATGAAAATTCACAATTTGTAAAATCAGAACAAAATAAACTTAATTTTATGATTGCAAAAGAGGAAAAACAAGATGACACAACAAATTAACTTCTATGACAATTTACATTTTTTCTTGCATTTATCTTGCATATTTTATTAAATTGGTAGTTATACTTGTATATGCATACATATATACATATTATATATATATATATATATATAGAGAGAGAGAGAGAGAAGTTCAGTTGCAAACTTGTTTTCCGTTATGACCTGGGGGACAAAGGAGAGCGCAACATGTCCCATTTGTTTCCATTCATCATGAATAATGAACCCCATTCGTGAATTTTTTACAACATTCATGATGAATATCCCGTGAATGTCTGGGACACATGGCGCGCTCTTGTTTGTCCCCCGGTTCAATATGGACGTTAAGTTTGCACCTGAAATTACCCCTATATAGATATATATATATATATATATATATGCATATATATGCACAAGTATAAATGCACCCATGTATCCTCAATCTTTCAAAATCTCCAAATCTTGGCATCCACAAACATGCACCCATATCACCATACACATATCCTTGCAATATAGATTTCGTTTTACAGTTTAGCCCCTTATTATATGAATCGAGTGGGTAAGGTTCACATTGATTTTCTTTCTTTTTGCTCATAATAGACATGGTGTGGAATAGTCACAGAGTAAAAATCCAGCATTCCAATTTCCAATCTGTTTTATTCTCGACCACATGATCAAGCAAAAGAAGAGGCCGAATGTTATCACAGAACACTAATTTTGGTTGCCATAAACAGGTGGTTAATGGTTGTAGAATGAAACGCCCATCCTCTGCTATTCACCCCTAATCCTTCTCATCCCCTTCAAAGAAATTAAGCATCAAGAGCCATCATACATAGCATTGAATTACCCTTCTATTTAAACCCTAATCCCCTGGCTCTCTTTCCCTACTCAATTAAAATCAAACAACAGAAGCGATAGAACATATGAACTTCACTTTTCATGTTAGTCCAACAAAAATTATTAAAATTACCAATTAATCCAAAAAACTGCTTAGTTTAAAACGTTATGTCACCTCGTAATCTACTAAATAATTAAGAAGAAGCAACATACTGATTCATGAATTAAATAGCAAATCGCAATTCGTATAAGGAGAAACCCGAAAGTAAATTAACATCCCCAATTGAGTAAATTGAAACTCATGTGTTGACGATCGCAATAACAAGTAAGCATCGTCAACAAAAAGTAGAACAAAAATTAAAAGTAACTGCTATGAATTATAAAAGATAGTATATGAAAGGGAGTCAGATTGGATAATCCAAGCGATGAGTTACCTCTGGAGATGGAGGAATGGATCCAGATGGAAAGCTTAGGGTTTGTGAATGCTGAGAGAGAGAGAGAGAGAGAGTCAACAGCAAAGAACACGGTATTTCGGTATACGATTTGGGTTTGGATTGAAAACAAAGTCAGAGAATCGGGGTGGACTTGGCGTACCGGGTGATGATTCGAGGATATCACGTTGCTTTGCTTGGTCGACGACTTTCACCATCCCATTTGACCCGACCCGACCCGACCTGGTAGCTTTGCTTACCTTTAGCGTTGTAAAAAGTTCTCGGATAATTATATAATAATTTATTTATACTAATATTATAAAGCATTTGGATTAAACTTTTAAGTATTATTTTTAATGGATCAATACTATGTAATGATGTATATTATTTAAAATTCAAAATTATAAGTAAATGATACGGGAGTATAATTTTTTAAAGCTATTTAATGAATTCGTATAACTAATTGATAAACATAATCATACACAGAATAAATATTTCATTTTAAATATAAAAAATATAAAATATAATTAGGATATCATTGAGTTCTAACATAATTTTTAATTATTATCTTTATTAAACAAACATTATAGTATTATAATTAAAATAAATTACTTCCTTATTAAATCTTAAGTTATAATTAAAAAATTATATTTATAAAAAAGACATTATTGAATTAAATCTTATTAAACCTAAATTAAATTATAATAAAAAATTGAACTGAAAAATATATAAAAATAGAGAGCTTTTAAACCGTTAATTTGATACTATTATTGATATATTTTTTCAAATTTTTACTAGGTCTTCAAATTTATATTTTATTCAAATATAAAAACAAAACTTTTTTCTCGGAACCATACAAAACAATATTATAAAATCAATAGAGACAGATAAAAAAAGGAACATATAAATCGAGATGTATCAAGCTGCATCGCACGAGTATGCTTCTAGTGGTTTAATAATAAAGAGAACATTCATATTTTACAAAAATACACTTCTGGGTAGCGGTGAGTAGAAAATCATCGGATCCAATTCAAACTGGCCGATTCAATTAGACCATAATTGGATGTACAATTAAAATTGGATCAGATCAGATCCAAAATTCCAACTATCAAATTGGATCGATCGGTTCTTGGATTCTAATCCGGAATCCAATAAAACATGACCAATCTGATTCAATGATCATCGAACTACCATCCAGTTAATAATTATATATAAGTATTAATGTTTTAAGATATTTTTTAGTTGATATATGTATGTAGTGGTTTTTAATAAATTAATAAATTATATGAATAAATAATAATTGCTTGAAACAGTTGATTAATTAGTTGAAAATTATATCAAAATATTGGATGAATTCAATCTGATTTTATAGATAACCAATGGTAATACCGATCGATGAAATTAATCAGATCTAATCATCTATTTGGATTGGATCAGATGTCCAATATTAGTTGGATTGGGTCGATGACAAAATCCAACTTCCATTGCATAATTGGATCGGATTAGATCTACCTAAATTAATTGGATTTCAACTGAAGGAACACTCCTACTTCTAGGCCTCCAAATTAATTAACCTATGGTAAAAATTAAAATAAATTAGTATTTATCAACAATTTATGGTTATCTTATATTCGTCTTTATCCTTTAAATGTTGTTGAAATCATCACAGACTTCTTATGTGCCGTTTGTCGATAATGATTAATAGAACTTGTGATAATAACGTAATTTTATTGTAATAATAATTCAAAATTAAATTTTATTTAAAAAAAACAACCACATTGTAACGTGCGGCAACAAACGTTAAGTTGGTTGACCAAACAGGTCACCGTTAAAAATCCCATCTTCCAGTTTTCTTTTGTCTTGTTTGTAATCCAGTTGGTTTTAATCATGAATTCCTTTGTATGAATGATCCATTAACTCGACTTGAGAAAATTTAGATGGTACTCTTCTAATATAATTATTGTTGTAAGGTTTGTGTTCTATCATAAGCAGTACACAGATAAAGGATTGGAATCTTAAGAAGGATCTCGAAAAAATAAGACATAGGCACAGTCAGTGCACCTTTCTAAATCTCGAGATTTCTGTTCAGGGGCGGATCCAGCCTTTAAGCACTAGGGGGAAACGCCTCCAGTCAAAAATCAAAAACCTTTGTTGACTAGCTTAAATCTTCTATTTTCACTCTTATCTTACATGGTTTTCCCTCAGTCTCATATGACCATATGCTTCCCTCCCCCAAATCTTATCCAACGTGCTTTACCCTACTAATTTCCTAGATCCGTCACTGTTTCTATTAATAGTTTCATATGAAATATGTGGAACACATGGCCATAGGTGGTCCAAGACATGCATGCCTTATGTATGTGTATTTTAAATGTGTTGAATATGATATGGATGTTAAAAGCATGAAGTTTTCAGATGTTATGCATGCAAAGATTTGACATGTTTATGGGTCATGTCATGCAACCGGACGTCTCAATACAATTGAAGGAAACGATTAATGAATTTAATTAATAATAGCATTGGATTAAATATTATTATTATTTATTATTTTAAAAAAAATATGATTATCTTTCAAAAATAAAAAGTCGTTATAGATACTATTATTGATTATATTCAAAAAATAAAATACGATTATCTTGTAAAAATAAAAAGGGAAAATTGCAACAAAATGGAACCAACTTTCACCTAATTTCTATTTTGAGGAACCAACTTTCAAAATCGTTATTTTGGGAAACCAACTTGCACCTGATTCCTATTTTGGGGAACCAATTTTCAAAATCGTCATTTTAGGGAATCAACTTGCACCTGATTCATATTTTGGAGAACCAACTTGCAAAATAATTATAGAAAAATAACACAAATTTGTTTTTTTCCAAAAAATTAATGCAATAAAATCTATTTTTCATTTCAAATCTCGTTTTTTTTTAATTCAGATATCAAATTGAACATTTAAAAAAAATCCAAATTACCACAATAAAAATTGTTTTTTACTGATGCAAAAAAATCAATTTAATAGAAAAAGTTAATTGATGCAATTGATTAGATATAAAAATCTTGAATGTGATATTTAATATTTATTTTTTATTGCATCAATTAACTTTTTTCTATTAAATTGATTTTTTTTGCATCAGTAAAAAACAATTTTTATTGTGGTAATTTGGATTTTTTTTAAAATGTTCAATTTGATATCTGAATTAAAAAAAAGATTTGAAATGAAAAATAGATTTTATTGCATTAATTTTTGGAAAAAAAAAAACGAATTTTTGTTATTTTTCTATAATTATTTTGCAAGTTGGTTCCCCAAAATATGAATCARGTGCAAGTTGGTTCCCCAAAATGACGATTTTGAAAGTTGGTTCCCCAAAATAGGAATCAGGTGCAAGTTGGTTCCCCAAAATGACGATTTTGAAAGTTGGTTCCCCAAAATAGGAATTAGGTGAAAGTTGGTTCCATTTTGGTGCAATTTTCCCAAATAAAAACAATTTGTTCTAAAAATGCTCTTCATTTAATATCAATAAACTTGTTTCTTCTTTTATCAGTAACCTCTCACTTTATCACAACCGTTGATTAAAAAAAATAAAAGGCTAATATCAGTTAACAAAATTAATACTATTTACTTGATTAACAAAATCATTGTGTCCCCCTCTCTCTCTCTCTCTCTCTCTCTCTATATATATATATATATTATAAAAAATTTCATTTAACTTATATATAGAGACTAGGGTTACTCATAACGTCTAAATCAAACTAACCCAATATTAGGCATGACAACGGGGAGGGGATGAGGCGGTTTTTGCAATCTCCGGCCTCGGTCCTGGCTTTTTGTAATAGCCCCGGCCCCGGTTTTTAGTAATAGGCCTCGGCCCCGATCCTTGGTCAAACCCCATGAAGAATATTCATTAGTTTGAGTCTATCGGGGATCCCCGACTCCGTTTTGAGTAACATTCTCCGGCTTCGTCTTCAGGACCCGTTTTAACGGGGAATCTCCGTCCCCATTCGGGTTGGACGATCCGAGTTCCTCACGAGGTGGGGCAAATCATCATTCTTACCCAATATGAATCAGATTGAAAATTTGTATTTAAAAATATATGAATCTAAAGCAATTTCATTTTAAAAAACTAATAAATAAAAGAATTGGTTCACTTTTGGCGCAAAATTGACCACACAAGACCGAGAACAAATTTTCTTTGATGAAGTATAGAACGAAGAACAGGTTTTCAATTTGCAGCATTGTCTAGAAATCTGTCAAAGGACCGTCCGGACTTCATTAAAAGTACAAACCACAAACTTTTTACAATTTCTTCGCTTTTCTAAAAAAATTAATAGCATATGCAGTAATAAATATCTTACATTTGATAAAACATTTCACCTCAACCATGAACTGGTCTGATGTTTATATAATAAAGAATTACAATAATAAAGTTTTAAGAGTTAACAGAAATTTGGATTTTAATAAGAAATCATATATGGGGGGCCTATTTTGATGACGTCATTCTCTCGTTGTAAACCTCCATGAATTTTGCGGACCTTAAATTCTTGCGAAGTTACGTTTGTAGAAAAATCTTTAAACTTAAATAGCAAGCAAAAGCCTACGCTATTCTTTTTGACATAATCCCCAATTCCACATACCGTTTGAAGTATTCCACAAAAAAAGTGAAAGGGAGTCAAACTTATGTATAAAGAGAGATGAGTGATTTATTATATAACTCATTATATTAATATATCTGAAGATATAATTCAATTTTAATCATCTATTTAATTTGATTAATATGTGATTTCATAAAAGTTTTGATTATTTTATAATATAAAATATTTATCATAATTAATGAACTCTAGTCATTTTTCATAAATATTCAAAACATAATAAATGAACTCTCATCATTTTCATAAATATCTCAATTGGTTGGGTTGTATTAGTTGTACAAATGTAATGAGTTGCATTTGAAACGTCCTATATCTATACTATATTATAAAACATTTGATAAAAACTATTAAAAACCATCTTTTATACATGAAGTACTGCATATTGATGCATATTTTTAAAAAATAAGATTACAGGTAAATTATGCATAAGTACAACTTATTAAGCTCTATATTTAAATGATGTAAATTAATGAACAATTATCATATATGAGTAGCTTATAAACATTATTTACCAATGAAAATATAGCATATATGAACATGTTCGTTAATGAATACATACCTGAATGTACGTATGTTTGACTGGTGGACAGTGTTCAACAATGAACAATGTTTATTATTGAACATTGAGTGCATGTTCATTATTGAACATTGAGTGCATGTTCATTCATGTTGACTGCTACTATATTCATGTTGATCATCCATATTATACAATACACCACACAACGAAATCGTTCGATTAAGAATGTTGACTATTGAAGTGTTAATGATTATTTCTCAAAATACATTCGTTTATGAACAATCACAAATAATATAACATAAAATTAATTTATAATAATTTCAAAATGGCTAAATTCAGTGAGTAATATAACTCTCATTTAAATTTATTAAAGTTATACAAAACATGACTTTACTATTTTACCCTCAATCATTAATTACATAGGAATCTTTGAACCATGGTATTAAATTGATCACTATTGGTTTAAATAGTTCTTATAGTTAACACAAATGATTTGGTTAACGAAAGATCAACCCCTCTCTCTCTCTTTCTCTATATCTATACTATATTATAAAGCATTTGACAAAACTCTTAAAACCCATTTTTTATGCATAAAATACTGTTTATTAATRTATATTACTTAAAAATCAAGATTACAAGTAGATTGTGCATAAGTACAACTTATTAGAGCTTCATATCTAAATTCGTGTAATTAACTGCAGATAAACATAATATAATACAAGATAAATATCACATTTTAAATATAAAAAATCTAAATTATAATTAGGATAATCATTGAGTTCTAACAGAATACTTAATTATTATTCTTATAAAATATTATATTATTAAACCAAAAATAAATCATTTCGTTATTAAATATAAATTAAATTATAACAAAAAAATAAATTAAAGAAATTACATAAAAAATGAGAACTTTTAAATATCTATACTATATTATAAAGCACTTGACAAAAACTCTTAAAACTCACTTTTTATGTGTAAAGTACTGCTTATTAATGCATATTACTTAAAACTCAAGATTGCAAGTAGATTGAACGTAGTACAACTTATTAAAGCTCCATATATGAATTCTTGTAACTAACTGCAGATAAACATAATCAAATACAAGATAAACATCTCATTTTAAATATAAAAAATCTAAAATATATTTAGAATAATTATTGAGTTTTAACAGAATACTTAATTATTATATTTATAGAATGTTATATTATTAAACCAAAAATAAATTATTTCGTTATTAAACTTAAATTAAATTATAATTAAAAAATTATATAAAAAATGAAAACTTTTTAATAGTTGATTTTGATATTAACATTGATATATATTTTTTTTTTCAAATTTATATTTTATTCAAAAATAAAATTATTATTTATTTTCTTAAAAACACATAAAATCGTATTATAACATCGACATAAACAAACAATAAAATAGAACATTAAAATCGAGATATGTCTCGCTGCATTATACGAGTACTCATCTAGTATATATATATGTGTGTGTGTACATATATATATATATATATATATATATTTATTCAAAATGTATTTATTTTATAATGTAGATCAGTTTGACATGTGTGTTAAACAAAATATACACATAGAAGGGTTTTACATTACGAATGAATATATATGAAACAGTTATATTATGAAATATATATTAATCAATACATTAAATACTAACATTCAAATGTAAAAAATTCATATAGAAAATAAATGATTTTTTTTATTCTTTGTAGCAATGAGAATAAAAAAATGCACTTAAAAATTCTCCGAATGCTTTTACTTTTAAAAATGAACATTTAAGTGTCATTTACCAGACGCTTATTCGGGTAAGCGTTTATCAAGTCACTTTACTTTATCGGATGAATATGTCAAAGACTAAGAAAATCTTATCCGGTAAGAGCGAAGACAATAATTGAGAGTGTTACTCGGTAAGTGAAGACGGAGACTCTTACCATGGTTAACGCTTACCGGGATAAATTGTTGCATACGATGCGTTTTAGTGAATAAAATATTGTTCGATAAGTAAACGATAATGTTGAATTTTACTGGTAAGTGTTTAGGTAAACGACCCCTTATTTAGATTAAAAAACTCGTCAATAACTTAATTAGAAATTAATTACTACCGTACACTTACGTATTATGTATTTATATGGTTATCATTCGTGTAGAAATGATTACAACCAATAATTGAAAAAAAACCTTAGAAATAAATATCTACGATGTTTGACTGCGTTGACCATTTCACAACCCATATAAATACCCGTCGACACCCCGAAATGTTAACCCCTTTTCAAGTTCTTTCTCTCTGTTCGTAACCATCCCTAAACCACCATCATAAACCTCCGCCGACCACCGCGACAACCACCGTGGATCGGTGTTCCGATCCTTATTATCTCTCTCAAATTCATGTAACAAAGAGATGATTCAAGAGAGATTAATGTATTACTTATCGGAGCACCCATCGATCGTCAATTTCCGATGGAACCATACGCAATCGTGGGGCTCCACCTGGTCCTTCCTCTTCACCTCCATCTCCGCCTACATCCTCCTCTCCCTCCTCCTTAATCTGCTCCTTTTCAACCGCCGACGGCCGGTCCCTCTCGGCCCTATCCCTGCCATCCACTCCCTATCTATGGCTCTCATCTCCGCCACCATCTTCACCGGCATCCTCTTCTCCGCCGCCGCCGAGATCCGAGACACACGATGGTTCTGGCGCCGGAACAAAACCACCGCGTTTCAATGGCTACTTTGTTTTCCGTTAGGTACGCGACCTTCCGGTCGCGTATTCTTCTGGTCGTACATCTTCTACCTAACGCGATTCCTTCACACGCTTCGCACCTTCATCGCCATTCTCCGTCGCCGGAAACTCTCCTTCTTCCGCCTCTTTAACCACTCCATCCTCATCATCATGTCCTTTCTCTGGCTCGAATTCTCTCAATCGTTTCAAATCCTCGCGATCCTTTTCACAACATCGATCTACTCAATCGTGTACGGATACAGATTCTGGACTGCGATCGGTCTCCGGAGCGCCTGTTTCCCGTTCGTAATCAATTGCCAGATGGTTCTATTAGGTTGTAACCTCATCTGCCATATCGGAGTTCTTCTCCTCCATTTGATGAAAGGCGGATGCAACGGAATTGGTGCTTGGGGGTTTAACTCTGTATTGAACTTCGCCATTTTGTTCCTGTTCTTAAATTTCTACGTGAAGAGTCATCTGAGGAAGAAGACGAAGACGTCGAGATCCTCATCGGAGTACGGCGACGACGAGGGTTTGAATCTGAAATCCGATTCCAGTACTGCAATCATGGATTTGAACCCGATTGGTTGTACCAAAATCAAAGGCATTTGAAAAGGAAAGGTGCGTGGCTGATTCCCATATCTTTCCACCTCCTCTTTATTCTTCTTTTACCATAAATATGAACATAAATTGTACAATAACACCAAATGCACATAGTAATGTTTATGCTGGCAATGAATTTTGTATAATCGTTGATCGGAATGATTAATAGCTCTTGAATTTGAATCCAATACTTGATCGGAGAGTTTTCATGGAAACATTGATTGAACCTCTTTGTTCATTTTCGAAAGGGGTTTTCGGGTTCGAAAATTGATTATTCGTGCATGAATCCGAAAGAGGTTAAAATCGAGATGCTATCGAAAATGGAAAAAAATAGAAAATTCCGAAGAAAGAGAATCGGGGTTGTTGGTATGTATCAGTGTATAGTATATCATTTTGAAACCAACCAGATCAATCATAATTGAAGATCAATTTCCGTATCAAACGTAATTAATGAGATGATTATAAGATTAAAAGTGATTAGAGGATAAATTCTTTTATTTAATAATTAATGTCATTTATAGCAAATCCAATATAAACAAATGATTTATATCTATCCTTTCATTTAATGTTTAGTATATAAATGATCCAATAAAAAATAATACAAAATTCAAGAGTATTTTTTTGTAAAATTTAATTCATTTAACTTTTAGTATATAAATGATCCAATACAAAATTCAGTAAAATTTAAAACTGATTTAAAGATTAATTTCTCATGAAAAATATGTGAAAGTTGTATTTAAATAAAATAAAAAATACAACTAATTCTTGAACCTATCTTAGGTGCCGATTACCCAACGTTTACAAAGTCACTTTACTTTACCGGATGAATATAACAATGACTAAAAATCTTATCCGGTAAGAGCGAAGACAAGAATCGAGAGTCTTACCCGGTAAGTGAGGACGAGAACTCTTACCATGGTTAGCGCTTACCGGGATAACCCGACTAACCCGACCAACCCGATCAACCCAACCCAACCCAACCCAATGCGAAATAACCCAACACGAAGCAACCCGATGTCTAATCGAGTTGTAAAATTGTCAAACCGTAGGTATTGGGTTGATATTGGGTTACTATTATTTGAACCCAACCCAACCCGATGACCCCGATATCTTTTTATTTCTTGGATTTAATATGATTGTTGAATTTCTATTAATATATACATTAGACAATTACACTATCATGTATGCTTTTCATATACACATATTTTCAATCTATTCATATATCTATATAACTGATTCAGTAACTGTGAACATATATATGTAAATTGAGAAAATTAACTTAATGTGATATATGTAAGAAATWTGAATAAGTTGTATCAAATGGTTGATGGTGAAAAAGAAATTATGAGTAGAGAAATAACATATTCAAGGTTAGAAGAATATTTTAATATACCAAAGTATCATCCCGACCAACCCGATTAACTCGACCAACCCGTACGGGTTGGGTTGGGTTGGGTTGCACTTTGGTTTGGGTTGGGTTGGGTTAAGATTTTTCCAAACCGCAAGCATTGGGTTGGGTTGTTCAAATGTCCTCAACCCGATCAACCCAACCCATGAGCACCCCTATATACTACTATATAGTTTTTGAAACTGAAATGTTAGAATAAAGATTTAACGCCCATGTTCAAGTCTGATCCACATATTTATACTATATTATAAAAAAATTGACGAAAACTCTTAAAAACCATTTTTTATGCTAAATAAATTATGCGTAAATACAACTTATTAAAGCTTAATTTTTGAATTTGTGTAACTAACTGCAGATAAATATAACCAAAGAGAGAGAGAGAGAGAGAGAGTTGGGTTATTATACAACCATTTACATTTGTACAACCAATACAACTCAATCTCAACCGTCCATTTAATTTGATTAATATGTAATTTCATATAAGTTTTGATTGTTTCCTAATATAAAATATTGATCATAATTAATGAACTTTATTCATCTTTTATAAATATTTAAATCATAATAAATAAACTCTCATTATTTCCATAAATATTTTAATTTATTAAATTACATTGATTATACAAATGTAATGGGTTGCATTTGAAACAATCTCTGTATATAACAAAATACCAAAATTTAAGTTAAAAAAATAAATAAATTTGACAACGATGAGACTCTAACACATGAAGAGCATGTTAATGTTGGTAACGGTGTTTGATAAAATACGTGTAAGCATATCTCTGTGTATGCATTCACGAGGTGCTCTCTTTTCGATCACTATATATACACATTTGTGTATGTCGAGAATATATTCCATCGTCAACTTTTATGTCATAAATTCCTTATTTTTTAATCACATAAAAAGTGTAAAATTTTATTAAAATTCTACGAAAAATTGATTTAAATAATCATTCCACCCTTTTAAATATCAATATGTCCGTAATATTTACATCCGTAATATTGCAGACCTGGCTAAAAGATAAAAAAAAAAGATTCAAATTCTACCAGGTTAGCAAGTGGTACCATCGCAATTACGGATCTGACCGTCTCATTGCATACTTGGATTGAATCTGATAGTTTTTTCCTATCTTTTAGCCACGTCCGCAGACATTTAAGTTTACCTGTGAGAGGAATAACTAGGAGACCAATTTGAATGGGTGGACAACTATTTGAGTGGATTTCCTATTTTTAAAAAAATAAACTTAAGAGTAAACTACAAATTTGGTACTCAGTGGTTTTCCGGAAGTAACATTTTCTATCGCTATAGATTCAATATTATAAGGTGGCGATCATAGTTTGCAAAAACGTCTGGATTTGATCTCTCTTTCTATCGGTTGTTAGAAGATTCAACTAAACGAGGGGCATTTTTGTCATTTATCAATGTTTTTTTTTTTACCAAATAATATTAATTTTATGATTTTTGATCCTTGTTATTTTTAATTATGTAAAAGACAAAAATATTGATAAACAGACGAAAATGTCTATTATTTAACGGAAATTTTCAACGACCGTTAAAAAATATGATCAAATTCGGACGTTTTTATATATCATGATGGTCATCTCGTAATTTCATAACTATTAAGACAAAAAAAATGTTATTTTAACAAACCACAAGTACCAAATAGTTTATTCTAAACTAACGGGCCGTTTACTAAACACTTACTTGGTAAGTGCTTACCGAATAAATTTTCTTATCGGATGAACATGAGAAGGGCCAAGAATCTTACCGGGTAAGAGCAAGGAAAATGATAGAAAGTCTTACCCGGTAAGTAAGGATGACGACTTTTACCCAGATAAACGCTTACCTAGTAAATTGTTGTATTCGATAAGTTTTGATGTACTAAAATCTTGCACCTCAAAATTAATCAGAGTGCTGATACCTATAGGTAAGTGCTTACTGGGTAAGCAATTGGGTAAACGGCCCCTAAATAATACATTTCGGGGAAAAAAAAACATTAGTTGTTATATTAATATTATGTATTAAAATTGATTAAAAAGAATAAAATAATAAAAATAAAAATAAAAACAAAAACTTGCCAATAATGGCAATTTGTGACCCAAAATTAATTTCACGTGTCCATAATGTTATGAATGTAGTTTTCAGAATTGGTAGTCGGTTCGTTGACAAAGAAAGAAAGGTGTCTGATTTACCACGTCTTTTTCTTACTTACTAAGCTATGCAATCAAAACAGACCATTAATGGGTTGGGTTGTTTAAATGTCCAACACAGCTATCGGGTTCTACTGATTCACCTTCAAATTCTTTAAAATTCACGAGAACTTTAAAACGAGAGATTATAAAGATTGTTTATAAATATCACGACTTAATTGTTGCGGGGAATAATTTGGTTGACAACGATAATAAAACTGATTTATAAACAAATAAACCAAACTGAATTGTTGGGTCGTAGACGAAATCAGTTACTTTAGGGAGAATTTCGATCTCTGTTAATTCAGATGTTGATGAATGCAACATTTTCTCCAAGGTAAAATAATGCAGCTCTGCTCAACTAGATTACATAGTCTAATTGATAACTAGATGTGATCATTTGCAGGTATGGGTTGGGTCCAGACTGCGCCTAACTTGTTGTTTTTATCCAATGGATCTAATATTGTAAACCCAACCCTTTTTTTCCGGGGTTTGACAACTTGTCATTTCTTGCCCTATAAACGGACAAGGCTTGCCCACGTGCTAACAGGTCTGAAAAGTGTAACTCTTATAAATTTATAAACTTTTTGATCACTAGCAATTAATTAACAAACGTTGAACCAAAAAATAAAGAAAAAATACCATTGCAATTAAAATTTTAAGCAACTAAAATAACGCATGAATCCTAACAAATGGAGAAAGGAATAAAAAACAAAATTCAGACTTCCATCAACATCTATATTTTTATGTAATATCAAAAAGTCAATTTGTTATTTATTGTTTTTATAAAATAATAATTCTTAATTAAATAAATCATATTTTTAAGTTGAAAAATAAATGATTTATAAAGATTACTTTGTTAATTATAAACAAAAAGTCGTTGTAGTATAGTGGTAAGTATTCCCGCCTGTCACGCGGGTGACCCGGGTTCGATCCCCGGCAGCGGCGTTCCTTTTTCTTATTGGGCTTTTTTTATTTATTGGGCCATTATGTTCATTGGGCTTTAGTTATTAAAAGCAGACACATATGGGCCAAATAGTTATTTAAGATTGGGCTTTAAGGCAAAACCTAAATGGCCTATTTAGTAGCACGGTGCCAACTCCAATTCATGTCATCAAAATATCGGTGACTCACTGACTCGTTTGATGCGATGCATCGACTCGGTGAAGTTTACGGGTTCCTGACTCAGTTAAAACTCGATTGATATTATTAATGACATGATATAAAACCCACGTTAGAGAGAGGATCATGTGTGAATAAGATTTGGAGTGAGAAATGTAATAAGGGATATGAAACCATGATCATTCTTATTCCAAAACAACCCATGAACTGTATTTTAGAAGGAATCGATCTAGTGTATCTCATTAGTATTGATCTAGTGGTTCTTTTTAATTAGGTGTGATCCAAGAATAAAGATCCATTCTTAACATTCTCACTGTAACTTTCATTGTGATTGTGATGAAAACAATGATTTTTTTTTAATAATCTGATCAGCAAAATATCAGCATAAATTATGTTTTTTTATAAAATAACCGAAATATAAAGTCTCTAACTGATAAATATAATCAAATACATGATAAATATCTCATTTTAAATATAAAAAATCTAAAATATAATTAG